CTGGGGCTGGAGGAGGAGCTGCTCCTGGCTCAGCTCCCCTCTAAACCCCTGAGTGAGCAAGGGAGGGAAAACATGGTCATAGCGTGGAAGAAAATATTCTTGCTTGGTCGAAAGCACAGTGGTTTTCTGATAAAGATGTGGACCCTTTAGATCCAGCCTGCTACAAAATGCTTGGCATAAAAAATTGTCCATAACTGGCAGAGGAAAAGGTTAGTGAAGGACAGAAAAATGAGCTGCTCAAGAAAAATCTATGTACATGCCACATTTTTCATAACTGCTGATGCTAAAAACAGTATGCAAATTGTGCATGGCTTTATTTATTTGACTCTAAGTCCTGGAGGGAGGCGAAGATTTATTATAAAAGTTTTGTTGGTACTTTTCCCATCATGCTAATATTCAATTATTGAGAGCTATTTGGGCTATAAAACAGTAAAGTACAGCAATGCCCTGTTTACCAACATACTTGGAAGGTTTCCGGAGGCTGGATATTGTTATGGCACGGCCCAACAGAAGCAAACTAGCATGAACTCTGAAAAAAATTTCCTGAGAAAACAAGGATACAAAAGCAAAGCCCCAGAGCTGAAGATGGTTGGCTACTGGTTGGATACTGCACGGCACATTTTCCTAGTCAGGTACTCTATCCTACAAAGAGACTTCTTTTCTAAAACAGATTCCTGATTAAATAATTGTTGATCATAAAAAGAAAGCAGCATTACGTTATTTTTATCTGAATTGCTTGTTAGAAAACATGTTTTAACTTGCATCAATAGATGCCTCAATCCACAATATTAATGATATGAGTTTTTTTCTGCTCATACAAATATCTTTCAAATCAAGGTTTCTCCCCTTCCACAACCCTTCCATAATGGTAAAATCTCCATATATGCACTCCATTTCCCCCTTTAAATATTCCCTTGTATACAGGTCACATTCTTTTTAATGCTGCTTCGGTTTATTTTCCTAGCAGTATTTGTCATTAATTGCATTTTAATACAACTTTGTCTTTTCTTTCTTCCCCTGCCCATTTCAGTCAGGTACTCTGAGTACTGTGCAGATTTTTTTTTTCCTGTGGTTAATTAGCTTCAGTTGGCCTTTTCCTCTTCAGTCTATAAATACTGAATATTTTAATAAAATTGTATTCTTATAGAAGGTCTTCCAGATGATTAATGGACCTTCGGAATTGTATTAAGGAATTAAATCTCTGAACATACCTCTTCTAACTCCTCACACCTAGAAATTTACTTTATACAATATTTTGACTACTGATTTCAGTTTATGAAACACTGTTTCTAATTGCCCATTACCTCTTATAATGATAGTTTGGATGAATAAATCTCTGCCTTTTTATTTCTTCTTCTTGATATGATTGTCTGCTCTGCTACTGTAACGATGCTGGTGACATTTTCAGATTCTTTATTTCAACCAAGCCTTACCCTCCTATAGTTTTGCATTTGCTTTTTGTACAATAAAAAGATATTGAGGCAAGGAGGGAGGGGACCTCGTCCTGCAGGTGCTGTGGTGGTGACAGAGTGGTTGTTGTGGCTTTTCACGGAATCACAAAATGGCTTGGGTTGGAAGGGACCTTTAAAGGTCATCTAGTCCAACCCCCCACTACCTGCAGTGGGGACCAGGGCCCCACAGCAGTGTCTGAGCTGCCCTGTCTGTGGGCCAGCCTCTGCTGTGCACCCTGTCTTTAAAAGGGGGTTTTGCTAATTGTGCTTATACCACATAGTTATCCTTTTTAATTGCTTTGGTAAACATCTTACAGATGTGAAAAACATGTGATTTTTATTTTTATTTTTTGGGTGGGGGGTGCTAGTTAGGAGAAAATTTTCTCTCCCTGTTTAATCTATTAATTTGGAATAGTTGGCTGTAATTGTAATTAAATATACTGGTGCTATTTTTTAAATGACTGAATTGCTGTTATGACAAGAATGATGCCATCTCAGATCTAAACATCCAGGGCCTTGAGTTTTCCTCCCACTCTTCCACTGACTCAGTCTTTGTCATTGGGCAAGTACCTCAGCTTGCTGCCTCCCTTTTTTGCCTTCCAGGGCTATTGTGCGAATTAATTAGATAATGTTTCAGCGTGGCTTTGAACTAGAGAGAGCTACAGGACTGCCAAGTTATAATTTACTGTTATGAAAGTCAGCATGCTGGCTGGGAGCGGGACCTCTGATGCCAGCCTAGCAGAGAGGGACGGCGAGGCAGCCTGAGGAAAGCTCCCCTCTTGCCGTAAGATCCCTTGTCTCTATATCCACTCTCTGCACCACTCTAGAAAAAGCTCTGCTGAAGGCAGCACCAGCAGCTGCCTGGTGTGATCCCAGGGACGTAGCCCTTGGCGGAGCCAATCCGGCCTGGTTGCTGGATTGAGGATGTTTCCTGCACCTCCCCTTCTGTTTTCAGGCTAATTTTGGTGTCTGAAGGAGCAGCGGACACATCCTCTGTAAAATTATAGTGCTCCAAATCAGCAAAGCACTTAAGATTAACATTGATAGGTCTGAAGAGTGGCTTAAGGTTAAGCACGCCGTGGGGCTTGCTGGGTAAGATTAGCCCGGAGCAGATGCGCGTTCTGCTGATGCAGGTTTTCAAAATATTTAGGCCTTGATTCAGCAAGACGCTCAAACGTGAGCAGTCCTGCTGAAAGCAGTGGAAATAACTGGCTAATCAAAGCTGGGCAGATGGATGGAGAAAGAACATTAAGTTACAAACCTGCTTGTTTAGAAATGAGTTTGCTTCAAGGAGCACGTGTGCGTGCAGACCGAGACAACAGAGCAAACTGGCTTTCCTGCTGTCGCCCTTGTTGTGAGGGCTGTATGTGAAACACTTCCTCATGACCCAGTGGTGTTCAGCCAGCTTCCCAGATACCAGCAGACCTATTTAAAAGCAATTTGGTTGAATTGTAACAACCTGTCCAAAACAGCACTTGCTATCAGTTGAATCCTATTTTAATCCCTCCGGCTTTTTATCCCACAGCCTGTGCTGGTGGAGAGGCTCAGCCTGGGCACTGCTGCAGGGCAGAGGAGCTGGCAGGTGCCCCGGGCAGTTGGGCTTGTCTGACCCTGCAGACCCAGGGGTCACCAGGGATTGCTGCAGGATCATTTTAGGACAGCGCTGAAAAGGTCTCATGAGGCCTCATGGACATCGTCTAGCTGATCTGTGGAGACCTGTGCATCTACAGCAGTACCTCTTGGTGCCAATGCTCTTATGTTTTGGGAGGAATCCCACCTGAATGAAGCCCAGAGATGAGAGATCCAGCCAGGGGGCAGCAGCTGCCAGGGTGGTGCCGAGGGTTGCTTGGTGCTGATGGTTTTATTACATTTTAATGGCATCACCAGGCTCAGTATGGAGGTAATGGGATGCAGGAATGTGGCTCAGTTTCCACAGGGCCGGGTAGGTGATGCAGGACCTTTTCTAGTCTGAAAAGCCCTGAGCTGATACCTCCTGATGGGGCTGAGGCAGAGCTGTGGGGCTTTGCTGGTGCTGGATGTGGACCTCCACTTGTCCCCCCTCCATTCTGAGCTCTGTTTGCACAGCAGCATCAGGGCCAGGGTCAGACATATGGACAGGCATCACAAACAACAGTTCCCACCACTGAGAACTAGGAACAGCCTTTCTACTGCTTTTCTTGTGATTAAGAGACCAAAAATAAAATGACCTGCACTTATATTCCCAGGCAGGCAAAAAGAATAATTACTTTACTGAGATGGAATTCCTTCATATATTACAGCCATTAAAAAGAGTAAAATTTGAAATTTACTGTGGCATGGAACAAAAAGGTAGTGCAGTTACAGATAATGAAATCCTTACTCGCCATTATCGAAAAAATTACTGTTGTTAAAAGACCCCTTCATAAATAATTGAGAAACCAATTATACAGTCTTGGTGCCTAATTTATCCAGGAGCAATACGGACCGTGTTGTGCCACAGAATGTGTGGCACGTATTCCCCGTTATAGCTCGCTGCTGCTCTGCAAAGAAATAGTGGGAAAAAAGAAAAGAAACTAATGCACATACTAATCAGGAAATACATTATCAGTAATGAGAGATGGGTGCCGATGTGTCTTAATTTACGGCGGTTTTGCTGGTGTATGGAGGCCTGAATTAACGTGCCGGTTGGTCTGTGTGCGGTGAGGGGAGCGGGGCTGGATGGACTGGGAGTCCCGGGCCCTTGTGCCCGTGGTGCCCACCCGGGGGGCTCTGACCCGCCCCGGGGAAGGGGCCTGGGCCGGGGGTCCTCCAGCAGCGCTGTGTGCGCCCACACGCCGCTTTTGTAGACATATTCTTTTAAAAAACCCAATCATTTGGGCTGTTTCAGTCGTGTGTACAGAACCCCCGGGCTCCCCCGCAGCGCTGCCGGGGAGCTACGAGCCCGTGGCTTCCCCTCACGGTTCGCGGCTCGTTCTGCGATACACTGAGGTGGAAACCGCAGGGACTGAGGGCGGGCTGTGCCCCGGAGTGCCTCGGGGTCTGACAGAGCCCCGGGTGCGGAGTGCGACAGAGACTCCCGCGCGCATCCCGACCCTGGGTTCGGTGTGTAATGGAGCCGCCCGGGTTCGGTGTGTGACAGACTGCCCCCCGGCCACATCCCATTCCCGGGTTCGGTGTGTAGCCGAGTCCCTCGGGCACATCCCATTCCCGGGTTCGGTGTGTAGCCGAGTCCCTCGGGCACATCCCATTCCCGGGTTCGGTGTGTAGCCGAGTCCCTCGGGCACATCCCATTCCCGGGTTCGGTGTGTAGCCGAGTCCCTCGGGCACATCCCATTCCCGGGTTCGGTGTGTAGCCGAGTCCCTCGGGCACATCCCATTCCCGGGTTCGGTGTGTAGCCGAGTCCCTCGGGCACATCCCATTCCCGGGTTCGGTGTGTAGCCGAGTCCCTCGGGCACATCCCGCCCCCGGGCCCGGTGTGTGCCAGAGCCCCCGGCGGTGCCGGCGCGGGCCGCCAGGCGGCGCTGTGGGCGGGGGGCGGGCGCGCGGCCCGTCTCGGCGCCGGCGCGGGGCGGGCACCGCCCCCTGCTCGGGCGGCGGCGGCGGCGGCGCGCGCGGGGCGATGGCGGACAGCGCCAGCGAGAGCGACACCGACGGCGGCGGCGGCAGCGGCGGCCCCGCGGGGCCGCTGTCCGGGGGCGGCCCGGGAGCGGGGCCCGGCTGCGGGGCGCCGGGCGGCGGCGGCTCCTCGGGGGGCGGCAAGGCGGGCGGGATCGTGATCTCGCCGTTCCGGCTGGAAGAGCTGACGAACCGCCTGGCCTCGCTGCAGCAGGAGAACAAGGTGCTGAAGATCGAGCTGGAGACCTACAAGCTCAAGTGCAAAGCGCTGCAGGAGGAGAACCGCGACCTGCGCAAGGCCAGCGTCACCATCGTGAGTGCGGGCGGCGCCGCGCCGGGCCCGGCGGGCGGGGAGCGGGGGTGTCCCCGCCGCGGGGTGTCCGCGCAGGGCGGGCCCGGCCCCGGCCGCGGCCTCCCCGCCGCTCCCCCCGGCTCCGCGGGGCGAGGCACCGCGGGCGGGCCCGGCTGTCACCTCACCCGGCCAGGGGCACACACATGCACGCACGCACACAGGTGGGGTCACCCCGCTGGGAGGGCCGGGAGCAGCCGAGGCGGTGCCCCCCGAGGACCCGCGTGGCCGCCCGGCTCCCCGCGGGGACGCGGCCCCGCCGGCCCGGCCCAGGCTCCGAGCGGCCGCGGCTCGGGGAGGGGCCGGACGGGGCAAGGGCGATGCTGTGTGTTCCCCCGAAGTTTCTGAAAGTAGAGATTTTCTCGGAGTTTTAAGTAATCTGCGGAGATTACGGATTATCTCTCCCCAGCCGTCACCTCTCAGGCCACTGTGCAGAAGCGGTGAGCTTCGTCTCGGTCGTGAGGAAGTGTTTGATTTGTTTGTAGTGTTTTGTTAGCTGTGGCATTGCTAGAGGTTATTTGAAAACTCGTTTAAAATAAGCCCCTTGAAAATAACGCGAGTAGCACACACAGCACTCTGTCCCGGCAAGAGCTCAGCTCCTGGTTTATGAGCACTGAGAGGATAACTTGGAGTTTAACACCATTTTATGCGGTGCTGTTAGGCATCAGTCCTCAGTACAGTGCATGTGAAAATACTGCGAAAATGACTTGTTTTCTTCTGTATGAGTCGGGAGTTAGGAGTTCAGGTGAGGGGGATTTTTGCAGATTCAATGGTTGGAGTGATTGTTCAGGTGTTGTAAGGGTCATGGCCTTCATGCAAAGCAGGTAACTTGCTAAAGACCAATTAAAGGTAACCTTTATACTCGTATACACTGTCCTGTGCATCCTTGCCAGTGCAGGTAGAGATGCCTTGAGAGAGACGGATCCCACCTGCGTGTGCTCACTCTCGTCTCATCTCATTTTTCCCAGGGGGTACTTTGTTTGGAGCACAGTATCTGATTGATAATCAGTTTTTCTGATGTCGGTATACCTAGCAAAGAAATGGAGCTTGCCTAGGCAAACCTCTCATCTGCTCCCAGTAGTAAGCATTCAGTGTCTAGCAGGATGTGGGCCGGAAGAGTGCATGAAATACAATACATAAGTAATTTATTCAAGGATGACAAATATAGTGGTAGTCGGGGAAATGTGTGCTTTGTTAATACTTTACGAGAAAAGAATGTGTCTTAATTAGGTAGTAGCGGAGTGCCTTCTAATGTTGAAAGGGGCTAAGGCATCTTGTCAGTCAGACATTTTCTCTCTGCCTGTTAGAAAGGCACAGCATCTTTCTGAACCCCTGGTAGGTGTATTGTTTGTAAACAACTTGGAAAAAAATGCTTGTGTGCACTGAAGTTCTTTAGGCACTGTCCTAAGGACTTGTCATCTTCTATTTTCATCAGCTTTTAATTTACAAAAAGCAAGTATTTTTCTTAAATCTGAAACTCAGTCTGTATTTTTGGCATCTTGGATAAAGAGAGAAAAGGTGTTAGACTTTTGTAGCAACCTGTAGGCTGTCTGGAAAACCGACATCTTTAGCTGACGCTCTGGCTTTGGTATGCTAAACTGTGTGCACAACTGAGCAAACCACTTCTAATTCAGCAAGCGGCAAAATAATGAATGCAAAACATAACTTTTTTTCAGGCCACCGAGACCTTGTGCTGTGGTTTACACAGTCTATAATGTAAACACATTTGCAGTCAGAATACTTTGTTGTGTGGCTCTAGTATGCAAGTGACTGGAGATGAACTTTATTGGAATGTTGAAGTAAGTGCCATTTGCCTGTAAATGAGTAGAAAATTTTCTGATTTTCTCCACTGTGATTCTAAACCTTCATCAATTTGCTCCTCCACCCGCCAGCTCCAGCTCTGTGCAGCGTTGCTGTGCTGACAGACGGGCGCTGTGTACGTTTCCTGTTGTGGGCACTGCAATGACACAAATCAGCTTTGATTTTTATCAAGCGATGAGGACGAGCTGTGAAGCGCAAATAAAACTGACAGGTAGCCAAAATAGCAGGTGAATGACTAAACCTGTGTGCTGTAGGTGAAGGTGACTCCTCGAGCCATACGGCTCTTCATCTGCAAGCCTTTCACTGATCCTGTTGTTTGAGCTTCACTGTGCAAAGCCAGGGAAACTCTTCACTTTCCATAGCTCCCTCCGCTGCCTGTAATGATTTTGAATATTTTCCCGTTAAGGTTTGCCAGTTAGAAGGTGGTGATCTTCCTCCTTCATCTTATGTCCATGCTGGTGTAAGTGTCAATGTGACATCTCTTTGGTTTGCAGTATTGTTGGTGTCAGTGTGGATGCATACAATTCAGGAATTGCCTAAATTGCTTGCCACATAGGATCCTATTAGTTCTGTTCTGCAGTTAACCCGTGCCATAAGGTTGAAAATAAGTGTTAATTAAGCGTAGGAGACCTATGTTAAGTAGGTGCACTTGGAAAGCTGGCTGAGAAAACGTGTTAGCTTGGCAGGCTTGTATATTCACTAACTTGGTATGAACTCTCATCTAGAACACGTAAAAACAGGTGCTGCTTTCATGCTGAAATTAGTAAAACCCAGCTTGGACTAAGTGTATGTCCAAAAAGACGCGCAAACCGTACTTCTTCCAGTAGCCTGAAATGCAAATGAAATTATGCTGCTGTTCATGTGCAAGACTGAAATTGGGTAAATATATGTGATAACTTTATCTTACCTGCTATTATTGGTAACAAACTGGGAGGGAGGGAGCAAAGCAAGGAGAAAGCTGGGGATATTTGAAGTGTTCTCTGGCAGTGCAAGAGCATTACGTCAGAAGATGCAAAGTTTCAGGTCAGATATTGAAAAGAAATTACTAAGATCACTTGAGCCATTTGCAGGGAGTCCATTTCTGTGTCTTTAGCAATCTTCATTGTATGATCTCATAGTGTATTTCTGCAAGGTCTTTTTTAGGAAATGAAGCGGCTGGTGCCTAGGTTGGGAAAAAAACAGATGCCTGAAGATCTGAGATGCTGTGTATTTCAGATGTGAAGTAGTGAGTTTTGGTTATAGCTGCACTATCAGAAGTGGATTTCCTGTGTGAACTTCCTTAAATTTTTTAGTGAAAAAGGTCTGCTGAGGAGGTGTCATATTTAATGGACCAAGCCTGGGACAGCACAACTTCTCTAGTTAAATAACAGTACCTTCAAAACTGGGTGGTGGAGTAACTGCTTTTCAAAAGATTGAATTGTTGCATGTGACAAAAGCTGACATGCTTCAGTTAGGTGTAGGTATGTCTTGGTCAGGAGGTTTCTTCTGAAGTTGATAGAACTTGGATTTGTAACTTCTTTTTTTTTTTACTCTTCAGTGTTAAATTTAACCAAGTTGTCCTATTTCATTAAACGCCATGTAACACTTAGCTGATACTGGATGCATTTTGGTTTTCTTTGTCATTGTTTTGAAATTACAGACCTCATGCAAACGCAGTGCTTTTAATAACAAAACGAGTTTTAGTCCCTGATTGCTACATGCTTACCCTAGGATGTAAGTTTCAGTAATTTAGCCTACTGTAGTCAGACATCTTCTGTGGAGTTAGGAAATTAAAATATAATAAGCCTTATTCTGTTACTTAGCTTTTTAACTGAGATGAAGATAGTGTATTTCAGACCTATTAATATAAAAATGTTCCTGCTCCAAAACACCTGATGTAGCAGTTTTAATGCAATGTAACATTTTACAAGAACAGCTCTTTTTAATTTTACCCCATTTGGCTTTGTAGGGAAGGGAATTATCCTGGAAATCCCGATTTGTGGTGCTGTGTGGATCCCCACCAGCATCATCAATCCAGACGAGACAGTGTGATCTGAAATACTAATGGCATATGCTGGCTTTTCTGAGCTTGCCATGAGTTATCACTGTCCGGTAGCGACTGCTGCACTTGCTGGCAATGAGCACTGGAACAGGGGACTGCCGTGGGTTGTGAGTGGCAGTATTTCACTGTGAGACCTCTGCTACCCTTGTTTCTGTAGCTAAACCTGCACCTCTGCACCTTGGCTCTCAGCCTAACTTGTCTTGTTCCCTGAGCTCTGACAGAGGACAGTTGCATTTCTTGGCTTCTTGGTCTCTTCTGCATTTCTGCAGAACAGTGTGAACAACCTCCCACCTGTTGGGAGGAACAATAGAAGAAAAAGCCTTACTCGGCTTCTATTTCCTCACCCCCTACTTAAATCCTGAAGAAAGTTGTTGCTTTCAATAACAACCATCTCCTGAAAACAAGCAGGCTTTCTGGGACCTGCAGATCGGAAAAATCCTGTGTGGTATTGTAGACTTGTTACCATTTTTTCCAATAACAATCAGATTTAGATGCTGGGAATCAATATGATTTTAGCATTTCGTTCTCAATGAAGTGTGCAGAGGGATTTGTGTGTGTGTATGCATGAGATTTGCTGTTGTGGGTCTTTGTGGAAAATGTCAGGATAGATAGTTTGGGGAAGTGAATGGGTATGCTGTATTGTCAGAAATCTCCTGCAGAAGTGCCTTTTTTTTTTTTTGCATCAGAATTTCAAAGCAGAACACCTGTTTCAGTACAGAATATGTCTATTAATAGTAGAAGAAAGGGCAGGATAGGCTATCTGAATTGAAATACAAACCTTTAAAAAGGTGCTCACTAAGGGCATGGGGATTACTGAAAAGAAATCAGTTAGGAGCAGATAAAGGTAAAAAACGAACCAAGAAAACAGGAAGATTAATATTTTTAAAAGTGTATCTGTGAAGCTGCTATTTACTCTTTATTTTAAAGTAGGTCTTGCTTGTGTGAAAGATACTTGCAGTTCTCTGATGTCTTGTGTAGGTGTAAGAAACCTACTTGGGGCTTTTGTATCAAGCTGCAGCATTTGTAACTCCAGCTTGTAGCTGGAGTAAACTAAAAGTCTAACTAAGAAATAACTTATTTTAGAAATGCTTTGCTCACCTGC